ATAGCTATACCAGCATTCTCTGCTAATAATAGAGCCTTTACAATTAGATCAGCATTTTGATAGTAGCTGTGTTTTCATCACTCATCAAAAAGGTGTTATTACCAGCTATGTAAGTTTTTATGCTTTTGCTAACTATAGCATTGTCTGCTAACTACACCTATTTAACTTATGGGCGATTTGCAAGAAGGTGTTCTATAATTGTCATGTTGTTACAAGAGTACCTGGACATAGCAAAAGTATTACCTTGAGTTGTGCCTTTTTGGTGGAAATTTCTTGTGCTCATGCTACAAAGACTATCAACAAATTTATTCAACAAATGACCTGGATATTGTGTAAAGCAACTTGAAGATTTATACAATTAAGCGTTCCTTTTGCTAATCAAAAGAACTTCATCTGTTTTGTTATTGTAAAGTATTTCCTATATGGCATAAACTGCAGCTTTAGCTCCTTTTCCTTTATAATTGTTTATAGCTTTTTGTCTTGCATTACTGTTTTCTTTGATAATAATCATTATGAAAAAACTAATAAACATTTTATTTAAACTTTGTTTTAATTGTTTTTAAAACTGTAAAGTTTTGGTATTTAAAAATATTTAAAAAATATTTTTTCTTATAAAATGTGGCTATAAAATTTATTCATAGCATATGTAATTTTTTTTTTTTGTACAAACATCAACTGACTTAAATAAGGAAAACATGTAGGAAGTGTAAATACATCAAGGAAGGGTTAAAGTTTGAATTAAGATTGTCTGCCCAACCCAAACCTTGAATCGATGCATGTATATTAAAAAATTAATATTTTGGCCTGTAGTAGGATTCAGTTAAAATATTAATACTGATTAAGAAAATCACAGCTATTTCAAGAAAAATAATTTTGGTAAGTTAAAACACCCACCATGCAATTGCATGTCTTGGTGCAGAATATTTTTTAGAACCAGCTCAAATAATAATTAAAGAAATAGGTTGCAAATGTTCATCTTTTACAACCACAAGAATTTAAAATTACAAAATTTTGCAAAAAATCTTTTAGTTACAGCCTTAATGTAAATTCATCTTATGTTCTTCCTATTTAACTCAGTTGGTCCTTAATCTTTATGATCTATTCTCTTATTGGAATTAATCTATTATTGTATTTTACATTCTCTTAATGTTTTATCAGTTAAACCTATTTTAATCTGTTAATGCATATAAAAAATAAAATATACTAATACTAATGGTATGTATAAATAGCCAACTGCATATACCTAAAGTATGCATAAATAGCCACATCTAAAAATTATTGTTATAAATATATGGTATAAATATAAATAATAACATTATTAATCAGGAATCTTAACAAATTAAACAAATCAATTTAAATGACTACAGTAAACATTTCATCATGCATCACAACTCATTAAAAAGAAGACTTCAATCTATATGTTTAGTCTCAATTTAGTGATGAGCAACTGAGTTACTTCATTCATTATTGCAGAAGAAGACATAGTGAGTGGTGGAAATGTATTGATTGTGGGTTTTAGTTTTATTTAATTGAAGAAAAGTAATCTTATTTTGTGAAATAGCTGCCGTAAAATATTTGCAAAAATAGAATAATTTGAATTGTTTTAATAAATTTATGTCTAGAATTTTGTTCTATTTCCTTACATTTTTTTCTTACACACTGTTTTTGAATTTAGTTTTTAATATATCAAAGTTATATTTTTATACTTTATACTATATTATTATATTATTTTTGTGCATTTTAATAGTAACAATGAGTTTAACTTTTTTAAATGACTTTTAAGGATCTTCCAGAGGAAGCAGTTTACTGTCCTCCACTTACAATATCACTTCGAGAAATGAGAATGTTTGGAAATGAGATACTAGTTGGAACAAGTATTATTAATTCACTACTTGGATATATGCATGACAGTTCTGCTTACATAGATGAAGTAACAGGCGAAGATGAAGAAAAAAAAGACGAAAATCCTGATGGCAATGCAGAGGCTACGGAGGATGCACAAAATGAAGAAATAAAAAATGAAACTAATGCTTCGTTAGCAGGATCTAAAAAGTTGAATGCAGATGAAGGAAAAGTCAAAACACCATCTATTGCTCCTAGTAAATCTGTCTCATTTGCTCCTGGTTCAAAGAAAGGATCGCCCGTCCATTCACTTGCAGCATCAAAATTAATGTCAAATAAATCAATCTCTCCAAAAATGGAAAAGCTTTTTTCTCCTAAAGGCTATTCTCCTTTAGCAACTGTGGAAATGTCTTTAAATCAGCGTCGCAAAAGTGGATCTTTATCACAGACAGCAGCCCTGTCTAAAAAAGTGAATTCTCGTCGTGTTTCAAATACATCTAAGCAATCAAGTCAAATTCATTATCATATAATTTCTAATCCAGGAACAATAGATAAAACTCCTTTGAAGAAAATATTTACTCCTAGAAAAACCCCTCAACGTTCTCAGCCTACATCTAAAAATTTAGAAAAAGAAAATACTGAGTCAAATATAAATGTCACTCCATTTAAACAACTAATCAGTAAGCCAGCTACTCCTTTAAAATATACAAAGGAATCAGTTCCTTTATTGCAAGATATTTCAGAAGAAGGTAAAGTTGTATATTTTCTTTATATATATATATATATATATATATATATATATATATATATATATATATATATATATATATATATATATATATATATATATATATATATATATATATATATATATATATATATATATATATATATGTATATATATATATATATATATATATATATATATATACATATATATACATCAGGCTTTCCCAGAAAAGGTGTGCACGCCTTGTTTTCCACAGAGAATAAAAAATAATACTAAAAAAAGGAAACAAAGTCTAAACAATGTATAAAATTGAAGTTTGATGTAAGAAAAATATTTTAATAATAAAAAAAAAATTAACCAAAAAAATTTCTTGTAACAAAAAAAAAAAAAGTCTTGAACATTTTTTTCAAAATTTTTATAGTTTTTGTTTTCTTTTTTTAGGGTTGCTATTTTCAGCTACGAAATTTGATACAAGTAAAGGAAAAGATGACTATAAGTCATAAAATTTTCACAAAAATAAAAAGACTTGACACATAATTCATTCACAAACTTCATCAAACAATATATTGATGAAGTTTGTGAATAAATTATATATATAAAAACTGTATTTATTAAAACTGATATAAATTTTATTTATAAAAACATTATATATAAAAACTGATATACTATTTACGTTAGACAAATTTGGTTAAACCTTTTCATTTAATTTAGTTTTTAAAAAGGTTTATGCAAAGGCAATGAGGTTATTCCCCAAGAAAATAAATTGCTGTTTATTATTAAATATATTACTTGAGATTTTAAACATAACAAGATTTTAATGTAAAAAAGGTTCTCTCTTGACTTATTCTAAATTGGTTAGACTGAGTCAATGTTCGCCTTTTATTTCGTTGAAATTATTCAATTGCATAATTTTGTAATAATGAAGGAAAGTAAAAAAATAATTGCATTGCTTCTGTTTTCATTGTTATGAAAACAGTTCCCTCGGGACATTATTAACACTCGTTCACAATGTCAATTGATTATTGCAAAATAAGGAACTATAATCGTTTGAATCGTAAAATAATCTTTTATTTGAAAATAAAAAAAATATATATTTTACAAATAAATATCAATACATTTAAACATTTAAATGTATTTACGTAACATTTAAAAACATAAATTTAAAAATTGTTTATAGTTCTATCGTGAATTTTAAAGTATTACTGAATGATAAAAGTCATAAACAAATTTTATATTAAAAAGTCCTTTTATTTTCATTAAACAATAATCTTTTTCCTTGATTTGTATTGATTTGATTTTTCATAGCTGAAATAACTACCTCTCTAAAAACCAGAAAAAATAGATAAATAAAATATAGGTAAATTTTTGTTTTAATAATATACATTAATTTTTTAATTTTAAAGCACAAACAGATTTCTGTTATTTACTTTAGCATTGCTTGCATTTTTGTTTAGCTTTGTTTTGGCGCGAGTTCTTAAAACGCCAAACAAGGCGTGCGGTCGCACAGCTTTCCTGGGAAAGCCTGATATATATGTATTTTTGAGATTCACCTCCTCAAGGCCGAGAAGGCCACTGCAGATGGTGTATATATATATATATATATATATATATATATATATATATATATATATATATATATATATATATATATATATATATATATATATATATATATATATATAGTAACTATATATATATATATATATATATATATATATATATATATATATATATATATATATATATATATATATATATAGTAATATATATATAACTATATATATATAGTTATAATATATAACTATATATATATAACTATATATATATATATATAACTATATATATATAATTATATATATAACTATAACTATATATATATATAATTATATATATATAGTAATATATATATTTTATGTTTAGTCACTACATTAGTAATCTCACAATGAACCACAGTGACCGCCAGTCTCCCCACAACAGATTTTTTTTTTATATATACTCAGTTGTATATATGAAAATAAATATTTAGTTAGTAAAAACCTCTAGGGGAATGGAAAAACGTATAAAAATCAAAAAATAAAAAATAAAGTTTTTAATTAAAAATATCCACCATTTTCAATAAAATTGCTCTAATTTGCTAATCAAATACCTGCGTTTTTTTACTCTGGTGCACAATGACTTGAGTTTTACTAAATGGCAGTCAACAATTTATGTGCTGTTTGTTTTAAAACTTTTGGTAAAAAGTCAGCAAAGCTTCATAAAATAACTAAAACTATTGAAGAAAAATTAAAATTTTTTATTTGGGATAGTTATGATCAAAATTTAGCAAATCATCCTGAAGTTATTTGTAGCAATTGTTATAAAATCCTTTATTGTTTGGAAAAGAATGATACAAAATACCTTGATAAGTAGCTAAAGCAAATTTCTCAGGTTAGTTGATAAAATTAATAAAAAAACTTTATTTAAGACTTAGTGTTTAAAAGTTTTTTTTTTATAAATTTTCTTAAAAGTAAGAGCTGTGTCTCAAGATTTATTGTGTCTCAGCTCTTTATTTTCGATGATTCATTGAATGATTTAATGAACCTTTATAAATTTAAAAAATTTTAAACAACTTGTTATATATAACAAGCTGCTTAAAATTCCTATATATAGTAACTAATATGTCATTGATGTGTTTATTAATAATGTGTTATATTTTTTATATTACTAGTTTATATGTTTTTAGATTTATTTGTTTAGATAAACCGTCAAGAACGTGTTGCTTTGAGTATTTTAAAAACAAAAATGGAAAAGGATAATATTTTTAGAGGTGAAAAATTCAAAATTGTTACTCATGGGAAACCATTGGCTATTGTAGCTGGAACTATGGGCAATAAATGTGATCGTGCTAATCTTAGTCAAGTGTCTTTTGGAATATTCATTGAGCGTATAATATGTTTAGAACTATCTTAGTGTAAAACCAAAAAATGTGTTCCATATTTAGAAAAAATCTTGGCTTTCAAAATAGCATAGAAGGAAATATTATTGAAAAATTAGAGGCTTTAAAATCAGAAATGAGTGAATATTTTTCATGTAAAGAAGAAGAATTTTTTGAAGCTGGCGATATAGTAAATAAATCAATGGTTTATATGACGGATATTGATGAATTTATTCATAATATAATCACTGAAAGGAATATTGACCCTCTTTCTACAATTGTAAGAGTTGCTGTGGATTCTGGTCAAGGTTTTTTAAAGGTCACTATGAACCTTTTTTAATCGGCATGATAAAACTAGCAACCAACCTGACCTTGATGATGCTGGAGTTAATCGTTGTTTTATTGTTGCTATTGTAGAAGGAGTGTCTGAACACAATGGAAATCTTAGAAAATTAGTTGATATTCTTAATCTTCAAAATATTAAGTATTCTGTTGCATTTGATTTAAAGTGTGCAAACTCAATGTTTGGAATTACAAGCCATGCTGTAAAATATAGTTGTTTGTGGTGTGAAGGAGAGAGTCTTTTGGATGGTGGAGAAAAACAAACTCTTCCTTTTCTTGAAGCAAGCTACCTTTGGAGATAAAATTATTGGTGATATTGAATCTGTAGTTTTCGAATTCAAGATGTTTTATGCTAATTTAATGGAATATATTAATACTTACTTTAATAATATTTCTTTGAATATACCGTGGAAAGTTCATACTGCAGTTAACCACATTGTACTATTTCTAAAAAATACCAATACTGATAATGGACTCGGAATTTACTCTGAACAATCAGGTGAATTTGTTCATCATGAGTTTAAAAAAACATGGATTATGTTTAAGAGACGACAAAGCCACCCAGACTATGCTAAACGATTGAAGTCAAGTGTTGTGGAGTTTTCAACCGTTAACAAGTTTACTATTCAAATTAATATATTGTTGACCCAAACTATGTCAAAATTGTTGTTTCTAAAGTATTTTAATAGCATGAAAGATTTTAATCAAATATAAAATATAATGTTATTTGTGTATTTTAAAGCTTAGTCTAGATATTTTTTACCTTACATGCGTTAATTGCATTTTGTTGTTGTTGCTTTTATACCTACATTTTTTTTATGTCCGAAAAAAAACACAGTAAAAATTTGGCTTCTTCATAAAATTATGTGAAATATATGAACTTCAATAAAGTTAACCATGTACCGCCCTCCCCTTTTTATCTAAAGTTTAGATGTGTAAAAATTTTATTCTAGCCATTCCTATGGAGGTTCTTAATACCTTTACCTAATTGATATACTATGTTACTTCTTAATAAGAAAAAAAAATTGTATGTGGGGAAACATCAAACCTGGCGGTTATTATGGTTCACTGTGATCTAAACTGCCAGCCTATACTAACTAAAACAAATCTATTCAGTCTATCCTCTAGTGAAAGAATACAACAAATTTTTTCTAATATCAATTCTGTAATAGCTTACAAACAACTACCAAAGTTACTGAGAAAACTTGCTTCTGCTAAATTTAATTCCATAACATCTAACAATAAAAAGAAAGGAATTTTTAAATGTAGTGATAGTCGTTTCAAAATTTGTCTATTTTACCTACAAGAAAAATTTAGTAAAAAAATTTCTAACATCCAATGGTACTATCTGGAACATCAAAAGTCACATTACCTGTAACAGCAAAAAAGTCATTTATTATTTTAAATGTTTATCATGTAATAGTCAATCAACATATACTGGAAAAACAAATAATTTGAGAAACTGCACAAATGTTAATATTTCAAGTTGCAGAACCAGCCATTCAACAGACAAATTTGATAATTCAAATTCCAAGTGTATTCCCAACGTATAAATAATAAGATAATGGAACCATTTTTCCTGTTTTTTGTTTCTCTAAAATTTAGAATAAAAATTTATTGTTGTATGAAAATCATGTGCATAAACAAAAGCATGATACTTTTAACTAACACTTTCTGTTTCAAAAAACATTAGGCAATGATAACTAATAGTAAAAATACCTTAATTAAAAATTGTATTTTTGTAACAAATAAAAATTATTGTTTTTGCATAATTGCACTTGAACTAGCACCACTAAATAAGCATTGAAAGGCCTCTAATGCTAAATATATTTTGTAATATTTTGTTAAAAATCTTTTCAGAAATAAAAGCTATTGAAGTAAAAAATTTTGAATTTGTTATATTTACAATGTGGTTGTATAGATGACATTTAGATATTGGAGCTCCACTATTTTTAATCCAAGCTGGCTCAGGCCCCCCTTTGGGGTCCGAACCAGCTTAGAACAGCACTGCATAAAGTATTTTTCAAAATGAAAAGGACTGAATAAAGAAAAGAAAAAAATTAATGAAATACATAATAAAAAGTTTAATTAAGTGTAAATAATGCTAACACGCTATGAATTAGATAAAAGTTTAAGAGATTATATGTAATATCAAGATTATAATTTAAAGCTTGCTAATTTAAAGAGATTCAAATCAAAATCAAAAGAAAATCAAAATAATTGAAAATTTTTATCAAGATGGTTTGAAGTAAATCTTTTTAAATTCTTTTAAATCACAACTTTTTTTAAAGGTTTCCTTAAAATTTTTTACAGGTTTCTTAAAAGTTTCTACCAAAGTTAAATACTTTTATTGCAATTTCAAGCATCATTTTAAGGAGGTCTACCAGACTATTTTTGGAATTTTTCAAGTAAATTACTTATTGAAATTTAACATGGATTGTTTTAATATTTTACTCCAACATTCATGTTAACAAAAAAGTTCTCGAGTTTTGTTCGAGAGAACAAAAATTTGGTAATAGTTATAATAGTAGATTCTATGAATTAATAGTTGTTAAAGAATAAATAATTAATAGTTATTAAATGAACAAAAGTTAAAGATTAAATTGTTAAATGAATGATATTTTAAGATTTTTTCTCGACTATTAAATGAATGAAAAAAAGTTAAGGATTTCCTGGACTATATGTATTTCAGTCGATTTTTTAATTTTTTAATTTTTTAATTTTGATTCATTTTCAACAAGGCTGCAAGCAACCACTACTAGGTTGGGAACTACTAGAAAAAAAGAATAGAGTTATAGAGCAAGGAAATGGTTGACAGAAGACTTGAAAAAAGGTTGTATGAGTCAGGAAAACATGAAGATAGGATAAAGTTCCAAAGGTTTAAGGCTCAAGAAACTAGATGAATAAAAGTTTTTGGAGCATGCAGAAACAGGTACAGTAAAAAAAATGAGACTTTGAAGAATGAGTTAACAAGTATAAGTTTTATTTGATGAAAGAAAATTAGAGATAAAAACTCATTTAAACAGCAATCATGATTTTATTTGTAGAAAAGCCAGGTTAAATTATGTTTACACTTGTGTTACACATTTTTAGACTTGGTCTAGAAAAGGAAGAGCGTCATTTAAATAACCAGCCAAAAAAAAATAGTACTCTATACAGGAAACTTTAACAGATTTGTAGAGGTAGAGAATGGAATCAGGAGAGAGAAAATGGTGAGGACAATAAAGAGAAGCAACTTTAACAGATGCTAATTTAGCAGTTAATTGTATATATGGTTTCCATGAAAGGTCAATAGTAAATAATAATTCAAGAAGATGTAAAGAAGAAGACTTGGTGAGAGGGTTGCCATTCATCAATATAGGAATGTCGACAGTACTGCAATAGTTAAAGTAATTGTAGTAGTTTGCTGTAGTAGTTTACACTAGATAATTGGGTATTATTAGTTAAAATTTACAAGCCACTATGAGCCCCATTCTGTTACAGAAGTGAGATCAGATTCAAGATCGGCTGCCTGTTTTAAGCCATTGTAAAGAGATGACTTTTTTTCAAGACAGGAGTATAAATTAGAGTCATCAGCAAAAAGAGCTTCTTCAGATGTAAGGTTGTCAGGAAGATCATTAATGTTGATAAGAAACAAAATAGGACCAAGGATAGGAAACTTGAGGTAGCCCAGAAGTTATTAGAAATAAATAAGAGTGTTGGCATTTGAGGATGACATTAATAAAGCAGATAGAAAGAAACAACATATGAAATAAGTTTAGGTTCTTAATAACTTAAATATCATAGTAATAGTGGAGTAGTGGTAGAGTGTTTGCTTTGTAAGCAAAAAGTTTTAAGTTCCATCCCCTACTACAACATGGTAGTAGGGGATGGAACTTAGAACTTTTTCCTTACAATGCGAACGCTTAATTCAGATGGACGTTTTTAGAAGTTTTGATATACGTTATTTTCTGGAACTACCATGTTGTAGTAAGGGATGGAACCTTCTTACTGAGTCCTCATCTTTATGCCTAAGTTGATTGTTCTTCATTGCCAAATTTTATATATATGAATTAAATTTTGAAGCTGACATCACCTGTCAGGTCTCAGTTTTTTACTGTTTTTTACATGCAAAATTCAGAAGCATTCACCAGATTGTCTATTTCAATGTGTCTATGATTTATTGTATTGATCACTCCAATTATTTGTTATTTAGTTTTTTCTGAACCATTTTAACTAATTGTACACAAAAGGTGAAGTTTGTAAATTGTAATTAAAAAGTTTTATAATGTTAATAATGTTAAGTTTTATAATTTTTATTTTGTTAATTTTTGTTTCTATTTCTCTAAAAATGTCACTTTGAATTGACGTTTGAAAAAAAACTGAAGTTTTATGTGTCAATATTTTTAGTCATTACTGAAATTTTAAATACTGTTATCACAGTTTTTTTTATTTATTAAATTTTGATTTGTTAGCAAAATTTAATAAATAAAAAAAATTAAAAAAAATTCTATCTTGCGAAATAGTCTTATTTTTGCATTCAATTTTTCAACAACAAATATCTAGACATAATATACTTATATCTAGACATAATATACAAATATCTAGACATATACATACTAGATAAATATACTTAATAGACTTTTTTTTTAAAAAAAATAAAAGCATTTTTAATAAGCATAAAATTCTTAGTTGTCATTTTTATTTTGAATCTTAATTTTTTTTGTCATTTGTGTATTTTTGAATTTATCATTTGTGTTACTTTTCATTAAAATTTGTGTTTGACATTTGTGTTACTTTCAATTAGTTTTAATGGAAATTGTGTGTGTGAATTTTTGAAAAAGTTACTTTACCAATACAAGCATAAATAGCAAAACACAAAATGTATAAATCTAAAATCTATTTCCATTTGTAATATTGTTTACAAATATTTATATGTGTATACTTATATTTTGATATATTTTTATATACATATATATGTGATGATTTTTATAGAAATTATCTATTGTTTTTTAAACATGGTTTTTATATTTTTAGCCCAAAAATCACCTGGACAAAAGTTGATGCAACAAATAGCAACTCCATTAAAAAGTAACAAAATAGTAACTCCTGTACAAAAATCCAAAGACAACCAAAATCAAATTCCAACTCAAGGTGAACTGTATAATAGTTTTAATGAATGAAGTCTAGATAATTTTATCTGGCACCAACCAAGATTTTCTTGCTTATAACCTTTCACTTATAATATACATTTTTTCTATAGTTTTCTGTTATTGTCAAGAGAGCTAAGAGCTAATATATATAAACTATTTTTTTTTAAAACTCTGTTACTTCCAAAATTATTTGATCTGAAGAGATCTTCATTTTTTGATTTATCTGATACCTAGACTTTCTGATACCAACCTAGGTTTTCTGATACCAACCAAGACTTTCTTGCTTATAACCTTTCACTTAGGATATACATTTTTTCTATAGTTTTCTGTTATTGTCAAGAAAGTTAAGAGCTAATATAGAGAACCAATTTTTTTTATAACTCTGTTACTTCCAAGCATGTGTAATTTGATCTGAAAAGATCTTCATTAAAAACAAGCATTCTGTACCATTACAATCCTTTTTTTTTATAAATTTTATCAATATAATTAAGATTTTCCAAAAATATATTATGATTATGACTATGTATTGGTTTATTTTGCAAAATATTAGTATACACCAGGACATTTAAGGTGTCATACTATAAATAGCTTTGTATTACATTTTTTAATACATAATAAAAGGTTAAAATAATAAAGTAGTGATGCTGTTTGAAACATTAAAGTTGTGAATAGAATAAATAATGTGACAGTGTTCAAATGCAGAGAGTGTCAAAAATTGAAAAACTTTTCATATAAATTACAAAACATTTGAAATTATTATATTTATTATTAGGAACACCAAGTAGTAAGCTAGTTGAAATAGAAGAAGAAACAAATGTTGATGATGCAGAACTAAAAATTGGTGCTGAGGCTTCTGATTTTGTAGACCCTTCCATTGCTAGAAATGAAGAGGGAGACGAAAAAGAAGAAAGGGAGGTTGTAGAGCTTGACACTTTACTGGAAGGCAAAGTTTCTAATGAACCTGGTCCAGAAAATATTGGTGATCCTCCTGTTACACTTCCTGCACCACAGCCAGCTACAATTCCTCTTCCACCACCTGATGGTGATGGTTTAAATCTTTTTTATGATTTTTTTTACTTATAAGTTATTATTTTTAATTTTAAGTTATCTTTTAGATTTTTAACTTTGTTTTTATTTAGATGAGGGAAAAGAAAATGATGATGATGATAATAATACTGTTGAGATGAAAGTTATTTTGGTTGGTGAAGATGAACTTAAAGCAGAAGAAGAGGCTGAAGCTGCAGAAAAAGAAGAGGTAACAATTAAATACAACATTTTATTTTAGTAAATCAAATAATGCATATATTGTTATATTTTTTATTTATTTTATAAGGAAAAAGAAGAGGAAGCAGTAGATGAAGAAAAAGAAGAAGCAGAAAACGAGGACCAAATTGATTGGTGGGCAAGGTTTTATGAAACTGTTAAAGATGAAGAGCGTCTACAAGAAGCTATTGCTGCTGCA